ATAAAATAAATAAATAAATAAAAAATCAAAAGAAACTTTTGATGTGAACTGTAATGTATGACTTGCTTACTGACTTGGAATTAAAAAATGGGAAAAAACAGTGAACAGTGGTAAAGATGGAACAGTTAGACTACGTAGACTTTTGTCTGGTAGGATCTCCCCATTGTCAACCAAGCCCCCTTGAGGAGTTCCATCCTTATGTATCTGGCTGTGGAACTATATGAACATGTTTCTCTGGAACTGAATTATATAATGTCTGAAATTAAACTCTAGTTGTTTTTTTTTTAAAATGTTATTAGATTTCGTTTCAGAATGAAGACTATTTGAAAGTGCATTGACCAAGAGATCTTCAAAATTATTCATGCAGTGGATTAAAACATTGCTTTTATCATTTTCCTCCTCTAATCAACAGGGCAACCCAATGGATCCAATGGTAATGAAAAGACCTCAGTTGTTTGCAGTTGGCAACAGCCCCCATGCCCAGTCACAGCCAGGCAGTCCATATCCAGGGCAGTCATATGGGCCACCAGGACCACAGCGTTTTCCAATGGGAATGCAGACCCGGACTCCTGGTTCCATGGGAGGAATGCAGTATCCACAGCAACAGGTTTGTTATGTTCCTTTCTGATTGTCTGCTTTTATTCTGTTAAATAATACTTAGGCCACAAGATCTCTCTCAGTACAACCTTCATTGAGGAGTGGGGGAAGGAAGGAGGAGGCTAATTTGTAATTTATTTGTGTTATCACTTTTCTTCTAAGGTTTTATTTTCTTTTGGCAGTGATGAACATACGCATTTTAAGAGAAGATATATTATTTATCAAATGCATTCTCTAGATTTGTGGTGTTTTTCATTTGCTCAGCTGTCATAAGCTTTCTGCTAGTAATAGTTTCTTCATCTGAAATAATACTGAAGAGGGCAGATTCACTGAAATGAACATAATGTTGGTCAGTGTGAAAACTGTTGCAGTTTACAGTAAAGTTATTGGATCACATAAAAAGTATATGCTTTACATGTGTGTGTATTACAGCATCCTTCTTTCTCCCTCCACCTCAAACAGGAGGGGTTTTCTTATGTCCAAGGAGATGTAAATTGTGTGGTTTCATGTTAATCTAGGGTTAGAGTTTTGTAGCTGATGTCAATCTTTTCTCTCCCATTATCTCAAGAGGGTCAATTACTTACATTTTCAGCATATGATAGCATGGATAAAGCCACTGTGTTTTTGAAAGGGCAGAATAGATGAAAGCTATCAAAAGGTTATATTGGTAAATCCTTGATCAAGCTCTTTATTGAAGACTGCTCTTTACAAATGCAAGGCTTTTTTGAGAAAAGAGCACTGTCTCTGTGTATGGCAAAGTAGAATTACTTTTATTTCTTGATGTTAAGTATGATGAAGATGGAAAATAATCATCAGCCAGGCAGGTATATTTATTGAATTGGCATGAAATATTCAATAATTAGCTATGCATTCACAGTTTTGTTGAGTTACACATTCCATTTTTGAAAACATGGACTACATGTGATTCATAAGTCTCTTACCATACAAAGTTGCTTGGGGTTTAGATTGACTACTTTGGGAGATGGATTAGCTTAACTAAATAGTGGCAAGAAATTTATTTTGGCATTTCTTAATAGACCAATTACAGATGACAGGTTTTAAAAGATTAACTTGACGTTATTTGGAAACAAAGAGGAAGAGAGCATTTACTTCTTAATTTAATTAAAGTTACTACTGGTTTAATCAACAATGCTCTTTATTTTGAAAAGGAGTATTGCTATTTTCTATCTGAAGAGTAGTGTTGCATTTTTTCACTTGTGAAATAAAGGCTAATTTAAAAAAATCTATCAGAAGGCAATGATCTGGTGCAGCGATTGGCTGCTGTCCCCATCTGTCTTTCTGCAGCATTAAAATAATTGGATGAGAAATATTATGATTATGAGTACTAATACTCTTTGGGGGAGTAATAGGAAGATAATTACAACATTGAATTTTTATTAAATGCACATCAACACCTAGGAATAATTTTGTTTGGGTAGTCTCCAGAGCTTCATATGTTTAGCTTGTAAATCTAACAATTTGAATCCAGTTCTTGTCTTTAGTGCTTATATATTATCTTTCAAAATGAAAAATAAAGAGTGTTCTTGGATGGGTTTTATTCTGTAGAGAATGTTACATGGGATTTATAAATCAATTCAACTTTTTAAAAAAAAATAGATATGTGTTTATTTATTTATGAAAATGTGTATGCTGCATGCTCAACAGATTCTAGGCAGCTTACAGTAATAAAACTATAAGTAAAGAACACAGTACACCAAATAAAATCAAGATAAAACAAAGAGATCTCATTTATATTTACTGATATCCTCTACTGAAAACCCTCCATTCCAAATGCATCACAGAATAGGACAGTTTTCAGTCCTTTTCTAAAAGGATAAAAGGATAGGGATTATTGGGAAGGGCATCCTATGGACTTCATATACTGAAGAGGTGGGTATACATAGGATCCCCTCCCAGCTAAACCTCATTGAGAGGCTGATTTCTTCTGGAGCGTATAGTTCCTGAAGGTGAGGAGGGCCTGTACCATATAGGATTATAGGATTACCTATAATCACCTTGAATTTGGTCTGGAAGCTTGTTGGCAGCCAATATAGCTCCTGCAGAATAGGCATTATTCTATTATATTCTACTTGGCATTCAAAGGAACTAGCTTAAATCCACGGCCTTCAGCAGTCTGACACCCAGAGACTTGGGTTGCGATTGCAGGGTTGGAAGTGAGGCTAGGAATAAAATTTCCTCTGTCCCTTCCCTTGTAATGGCTGCCCAGCCTACATCATATTGTTCTTGTGGGGATAAAATGAAGGGAGATATTGAGCCTTGAGCTCCTCTAGTCAGGAAGGATATAAATCTAGCATATAACATTCAAAAGATGTGGCAGATTCACAGTATGTGGAACAATGGAAAGGATTAAGACAAAACTGAATGGAATTTAAAGTCTTTCCTTTCACACATGTGGTATATCTTGAAGTATCAGAAAACAGTTGATGTTTCATAGCATATTCTGTAGCCGTATGTGCATATACGTGTACGTGCTTTTCAGATTAAACGTTGGTTCTTTGTATGTATTTAGTGTATTTGTAGAAGAAACCCAGAAGTCTTTATTTGTGATATGGAAGCACGCTTGGACAGTGATGTTATCAGCATTTTGTAAGGATACCAAACATTTGTGAGTCTACTTAATAGAATTTGACATATTGCCCAATACTATCCATCTGCTAAAGAAAGAAATGTTGCTTTTCAGTTTTGAATGTTTCCCATGAAATGACAATACTTACTTTCAAACCAAAAACATTGGTTTACTGTTCAAAATATAATCCAAAATAAAGATGTAATTAAAGCAGATCTTATTAACATATTAAAATTAATTAGTTCTTTAAAAACATGTGTACTGTTCTTTAATCTTCTACCTCTGGAAATCCAACACATTCTTGAAAATTGATGAAATAATATCTGATTTGTTGTAGGTTGACAAACTATAAAGAATAGCAGGTGGCTGAATCTTTTGTAGTTGCACAGAAATGAATGAGTACTGTATATACATTTTGCAAAGATACATCTCATTTTATAACTTGGGCCTGAATGAGATATAACCCAGATACAACTGTCTGTTGGAGAATAATGTTCTGGACAGCTGTAAAGTTGGTGAGAAGGGAATCCAGATTGACAATATGGTAGGATCATGGACTTCTCAAAGTACTTCCATGTGGACCGTATTCTGAAAAAAAAAGTTAACCCCAATCCAAAGAAAGAGAAATATGGATAAGGTAGTTTAAGGGTGAAAACTCTAGTAGGGAGAGCGGAGAGGTGGAACACACATAGTAAATCACCAAGCAAAAATGCTGATTTAACTCACTGATTTGATTTAAATCATGTTTTCCACTGATAGTCCATCAAATATGATTTAAACAGTAATTCTGATCTGATCACTAAAACACATTTCATTCAGAACTCAGTGTAACATATTTATGTAATCTTTAGAATTACCACTAACATAGCTAGTGTGTTTATCATCTTACTTCAATAGAAACAATAACTGGGGATTTCAAAAAGCGAACAATGATAGGCTGGAAAGGCCCATTTTCACAAGATGCAATATTGAAATAGGAGTCCATGCTTAACTGGTAGTTAGCACAGTGTGCATGAACATAAGGCAGCCTTTTATTCATTCTTATGAGATTGTATCATTTCCACAATGTTGAGGTAGCATTTAATTTTAAAGGCTCTTTTTTAATGAGAAAGAAACTTAATATTTTTAATCCATTTTTTAAAAATCAGAAGTTTGCTAGGACGTGGCTTATGCTGCTTGTGCTTTAATGGAAAGCAGAGAGATGTTTTTTGTGTTATAAAGTACAGCCCAAACACGACATCCTCAACTGGAGAGGAGCGTTTGCTGCAACCATGCAGATTGCCTATCTAAGGATATCTGCCTTAACACGTCAAAGGTTCATCATAGTGAAAAATGAGGCTATACAATAGAAATAATGTGATTGCTGGACAAGACTTTTTAAAAGGCTACCTTAAGGATTGGGGGATCATAGATTACATATAATCACAGAATTACCTCGTTTGTTCCATGGCTTATACAGAAGCCACAATTTACACAGCCTTATAAATTTTTATGTATAAGATTCTCTAAGTAGGGGTATGTTAGTAATGCTGTCTGTACTGCTGGGAAATGTTTAGTGTTTCCCCCTTTCTGTCTGATGTTAAGCCTCATTGACTAAATTGAAAAAGGCTGCTCATAGCAGGATAAGGTTTTATGTTGTATTGTCTCCTTTGGAATTATCCTTTCCATTAAGTATAATTCGCTCTATGGAGGGAGGTGAGCATAGATTACGGATAATCACAGAATCAAATTTGACACAAGAAAGAAACTTTATGGTAGCTTAGCTCTACATCTTAACTGTGGTCATTGACAATGTTTACTGAATAAAATCCCAAAAGCAGTACAATTGAATTATTATGGAAAATAGAAACAGTACAATGATTTCCTCCTCTAAACTGATGTAGGGAATTGTCGGTTAAACAGAAAATGCTTGCTGTCTTGAGAGAGTAATATTGTTTGAATTAGATGACACAATAGCATCAGGAAATAGCATTAGGGCTAAAGCTTACACTTGTGTCTTTCAGTATATACATTCAGTAAATTGGTTGTTGAAATTATTGCATTAAATATCTCTGTTCCAAAGACTAAGTTATTCTGTTTATTAAAGAACTGTGGTCAGTTGCAAACAAAGTCATACAGTACATATTGACAACAGAGGAACCACATATGGTACCATAATGGATACCATCAGGACCTGCAATTTCTAAATTGATTTCCTTCTGTTCTTCCTCTTGCTTGTCAGAGAAACTGTGGCTGTATAAGATGAAAAAAAGGAGGGCAGAATTAATATGCTAACATTCTGTGCAGATCTAGGCCTGGTAATCAAGTATATAGATTATTAGGAGCAATAAGTCAAACTGAGTTAGCATATATCTTGCAAAGCTCCCATGACAGATGCATTTTTATCACTAAATTTTACATCTGTTTGAGTAGGAAAGAACAAC